TATAGCACTGCTCCTTACCCTAGCCCACTTCATTCTTGCACAGCTCTCATAACGTCTAATTCACTCTGTTCCCAACTGAGATACTCTTTCTTTCCCAGAATTTCTACCCATTGAAATTATGCTTGCCTTGTGAAATAGAAGCCACTCACTTTGAAGAAACTGTTATATGGTCTGGATCAGTAATATAAAATGGAAAAAAACACAACAAGGATAGGCCAGGGTCCAGGAAAAAGTCTTTGGTACCCAATGGAAAAATGGAGGCAGGTGTTCTTGAGTATGAATGAGACCAGTAAAGGTTATTGCAAAGTCAACTTTCAGGTTGTTTGCATGGAAGCAAATCTGTGAGGCCCAGTTCCAGATGTGTAGACTAATAGATAGCCCTTTCTACTTACAGATGGAATGATGGATTCTAGAGGGGTTCGATCCAGCCTGCATTAGCCTGAACCACTGCGGAATCGCTGCGGAAAAGTCTGTTGAGCAAAGCTGGAGGGTTAGGAAGAACCATTTTGTGATTGTAGAATTAAAGATGGAACATTTGATATAGCAAAGAGTACATACAGGCTATGGCCCTGGTGTGAGATTTCTAAATTGAAGAGGGAATGAAGGAAATCAATTGACCTTGAGCCAGGTTTCTTAGGGAAGTACAATCCTTTGACTCAAGTTAGCTGAGTTAGCTGTGCAGGATTTCTCCTGTGCAGAATTGTGCCTTTCCCAAGATAAGCAGACTAATGGCGAGTGAGACAATCTCCAGGCCCCAGCCTGGTGCTGTGGTTCCCAAACCCTGGCCTAAGACGGCCTAAGGAGTATCTTTGAAACTTTATTCTCAGAACATTCTTTCAGCATTTTATGTAGATCAAAGACTTCTGCATTTCTAATTTTCTCGTGAGATTCTTAAGCACCTCACGCATTTCTGGTCTATAATGTGGGCCCTTAGACAGAACTGTTCTCTTTCAGTTAACACCAATGACGTAATCTAGAGCAACACAGAGAAAGACTGAGCTGAGTCAAATTTCTGAAGTCATGTGGAGAGCCAGGCAGAGATTAGTGAAAGAAAAGGAGTAAGGAGGTCACTGGCTGGTCTCAAACCACTGCAGGAAATGTGGTGGGTTAGAAATTCTACTGAGACTCCAAGAGTCCAGGTCCCTCAGATGGGAATCCAGCTTTGTAAGTGCTTCAAGGAAAATCAGCTTGCTGGGAATTCATGGAAGGCAGTGGGAAGCTAAGGAGGGTCCACAGGAGAAAGGGGACCTCGTGGGGACAAGACACGGCAGAGAACACGATAGCCTCACTGGCCAGGTTCTGAGTTTGAGAGAGAATCAATCTGCACCGTGTGTCAGGAAGGGGGAGAAAAGGGTGGGGAATGCTGCCTGCTCAAAGTAAGGCCTTTTTGCATTCTTCTGAGGTCTGTATACCCTGCCTTCCCCTAGTAAGCAATCAGTTCCAAACAACCCCTTTTTCCTTATGGACTCCCCAGAAATGAAACCCTTTCCCCAGTTGTCCCACCAAAGGCACAGAGACAAAACAGTTCTCAGTTGCTCAACCGAGCCTGTGCCTTAATCCCTGGACTTCTAAGGAAGGGATTTAGTGACTTTCGAGTGACAGGAATAACAAATGGCCTTACTGTTTAACACAAAGTGCTTCCATGCGAAAGGGAGGCTGGATCACTTTCAGTCGACAACTTTGCCTGGGGTCCTTTAGCTGCCCACAACCCCAGGCATTTGGGGAAAGGACAGGCTAGCCTGCACACTCACAGAAAATCTACTGTCATTAGTTGAGGCAGCCTTCATGGAACCTGATCCCTGGGCACATTCCTAGTTTGGTGCACAGGAGAAACTGCATCAGCGACTAAGGAGTTAATTGAATAGCATCCCCTTCTCCCCTGCCCCTACTCCCCTCAGCACCTAGCTGTGATGGGAATGTTTGCAGTCCCTGGGTAGTTTGCCTTTCTCTTCCATAACAGCAGGATGGACATCTTCCCTCAAGGGCCTCTGCTGTTTGCTTCTTCAGCTCCTGCCTCATTATTCTTTCCTTGAGGCTTCTAGCAGGTAAACCATTCCCCTTCCTTCCTAGAAGTTGCAGTGAGGTCTTCCACTCTCTATTAGTATCAGGAGCTATGGAATTTTCAGGTCACAGTGTGGAAGTTAATGACACAAAAGTTTGGGGTCAGTTTTACCTGAGGCCTGTAATTGAAAGTTTGCTATCTCCCTTAAATTGCCAAACCTTGCTGAGACTTCTACTTGTCAATGATAATATGGAAATGTATTGGCCTGGTTTGGGGTTTTTATGAAGATTATGCCTACAAAATATATAAAATACACAATCCTGGATCTATATGAAACAGAAAGTATATGAGTGGTTACATGGACAGTGTACTAACTCATGCAGGATTAAGTTGGGCATTGAGGTAAGGTCCCCAACACTGGCCTCATCTTGCTAGAACCCTGTGTACCAAAGTCCTGACATACCTCCTGATTATCCAAGTCCCCAGGATTGTCTTGGAAAACCAGTTTCCTGCCTAGAGCCATTTGGGGGAGGGGTTGTGTGAGAAGTTCACAGAGGCCTCTGCTCTGAACACTGTGTTGTTAATGATATCAGTGTTACTAACTGAGTCCTGCAAGCATAAGTCCAAGACTAACTATTTAACTGGAAAACCCCATGCCAAATGGAAACTCGGATCTCCTTGTTCTGAAACTACAAGCCTCAAGATAGTGATAACAGTCAATCAAGTCTTCTCACCGCCTGCTGCATGCCATGTAGGCTGGTGAAGATGAACTTCAGTGAAATGTATTAGTTGCTTTTCTTGCCCATGTGACAGGGGCAACAATGCAAAAAGGAAATTTATAGGGCTTTCAGATTAGAAGGTACAGTCTGTCAGATTAGAAGGTACAGTCATGAGGAAGGCAGGGTGGCTGGGAAGTTCTGCCTGTGGTGTTGGTGGTGGTGGTGGTGGTGGCGGTGGTGGTGGTGGTATGTGTGTATTTGTGTGTGTGTGTGTGTGTGTGTGTGTGTGGTATGTGTGGTGTGTGTGTCTGTGTGTGGTGGTATGTATGTGTGGTATGTGTGTATGCATGTTGTGTGTATATGTGTGGTGTGTGTGTGTGTGTGTGTGTGTGTGTGTGTGTGTGTCTGTGTGTGTCAGTGTGGAGCATGTGTGATTTGTGTGGTCTGTGTATGTCTGTGGTGTATGTGTGTGTCTGTGTATGTCAGTGTGTGGTGTGAATGTATCTCTGTGTGTGTTGCGTGAGTCTGCATGTGTGTGTGCTACGTGTGTGGTGTGTGTATGTCTGTGGTGTGTGTGTGAGTGAGTGTGTGTGTGAGTGGGTGAGTGTATGTGTGGTGTGTGTGTGAGAGAGAGAGGGGGGATGGTGATGTGGCTTGTTCTTGTACTGGTGAGCTGGGAAAAACAGTTTCAATAGAAAGTAGAGACACTATAAACTTCAAAGTCCCAACCATCCTCATGATATAGCCATGCTCCACACCTCCCCAAATGGTGCCATACACTGGGGACCATGGATTGAAATGTGTGAGCTCTAAGGGCACGAGAGTTAGAGCTCCTGTGCTTGCACAGAGGTCAGTGCAGTGGAGGGTTCCTTCAGGGCCAAATAACTCGACTGTAATGTGTTGAAGGGTGAACCAAACCTAATTCCAAAGCTGAAGATAAACCTGCATTTAGGAAAGAGATACTGGTGTTTTGAGCAACGTTACTGCTTCCAGAAAAGCCAAAAGATAGGCAGATCTTAAGACATCACTGTAACACAATTAATAAAAACCCAGAGATAGATTTTGGGGTTCAAGCTGAAGATCAGAATAGCAAAGCAGCTAGCTACTAGCTCTTTCCTCTACCAAACTGAAATGGCAATCCTGTCTCCATGAATCCTCAGAGACAAATGCTCTCCCTGTCTGGAAAGTAAATCTCCATGAGACCCTTTGCTTCTTCCTTTTATATCTCCCTTGTGCTGGGATTAAAGGCATGAGCTCTGTTACTCATTTAGACTGATTTAGTCTTGTGTAGTCTAGGGTGGTCTTGAACTCACACAGATCTATTTGCATCTGTCTCCTGAGTCCTGGGATTAAAGATGTGTGCCACCACTGTTCAGCTTTATGGCTGTGGCTAGCTTTGCATTCTGATCCCTAGTTGCTTCATTAGATCATAAGCAATATCACAACATCACAGTAGGTCAGCAGGCTCTGAGAAGAAAGGAGGCTTTAGAAGTCAGAGAAGCTGCATCCTGTGTTAGTGACCTTTTCTGTCTGTGACAAAATCTGTCAAGAAATAATTTAAGGAAAAAGAGGCTTGTTTGTCCTCACAGTTGTTGATGATGCTGTCCATCAAAGTGGAGAGTACAGGGTCACAGGAGCACATGGTAGCTTTGCACTCTGCACTGGCAGTGGAGGATCAGGGGAGATGAAAGATGATTTTTTGTTTGTCTGTTTGGGGTTTTGGAGACAGAGTTTCTCTGAGGCTTTGGAGGATGTCCTGGAACTAGCTCTTATAGACCAGGCTAGTCTCAAACTCACGCACATCTGCCTGCCTCTGCCTCCTGAGTGCTGGGATTAAAGGTGAGTGCCACCACTGCCCAGTGGAAGATGATTCTTACCTTACTTTCTCTTTTTCATTCAGCCTGTGACTTTGGCCCATGCAGAGACTGTCTCCTGCATTTCCTCTGCAGAGTCAGACACACCCAGAGGTGTGTTTCCACCAGCCATTGTGTTGGCACACCTTCAATCCTAGTACTTGGGAGGCTGAGGGGGGCCAATTTCTATGACTTCAAGGTCAGTCTGGTCTACACAGTGAGTTCTAGGCCAGTCAGGACCATAGTGAGACCCTATCTCTTAAAAATTTATCTATTTTAATTGCTTTAGTTATACATAGGTGCTTAAAAATAACACATCCCATAAAATGATTTAAGCTTAAATAGAAAGTATAACTTTAAAATACATAGCATGGAAATTAGCAATTCATTTTCTATTTTCCTGTCTCTCTTTTTTCTTTTTTAAAGGTTACAGAATCGAATCAAACATGCTACTGTGTGGCAGCACACTTATTGTGAGACAATTGTCTGGAGGACCATTTTCTCAGAAGTCTATAAAGAACTGGATAGAAAGTGAGTTCATTGTTTTAATTTTCTAGTGCATGAATTAGAGTGACAGTGAACTGAATTAATGAATGAACAGAACTTTGTCAAGTTCATGGCCAGACAACAGTGCTTTGGGCTGGGAGTTGGGTGCTCTTTAGAGAGGAAATGCATGTAGTTGTGAATGGCTGTGAGCCAGTAAGCCTGCTCTATACTGCAGTCCACCAACTTTCACTCTTGGCTGTACAATTAAGAGTCAAGAGTGACGAACTATAGAAATAATCTCTGAAAGTATAGTCTAGACAGGTTTGGAGAGAGGTCTGGCACAGGGGAAATGTTAGGGGATCCACAGGGATGACCCCAACTAAGAATCCAAGCAGTGGTGGAGAAAATGCCATTGATGCCCTTCCCCTATAATGAAATTGGTGTCTACCTTGGTTACTTTTCCTAGACCCTTTATCCAGTAGCTGTCCGAAGCAGAAACAGGCACCCACAGCTAAGCACTGAACCATACCACTGGAATCCAATTGTGGAGAGAGAGGAGGGATGAGCAAAGGAGCCAAGATGGTGCTGCAGAAACCCACAGAAACAGTTGATTTGACCTAGTGAGAGCATGGAGACCCTAGTCATAAAGCTGCAGAAACAGCATTGGACTGAACCAAGCCCTCTGAATGTGGGTGCCAGACAGGAGGCCAAGACAGTCTATGGGACCTCTAA